TATATATATATATATATATATATATATATACAGTATATATAAATAGACTACAGTTACATCTACAGTATTTAACTAATGGGATATGTTGCTTATATAGCGCACTCTGCAGGTAGCGAGGGAGAGAAACATGCTGATTGTTCTTTAACACTGGTGGTTTAAATTCAAACTTGTGTTAAAAAACAATGAAAAAATAAAATATAAAAATATTTTTCATTTCCAACTCTTTGTCGTTTAGCCACCATTGTTTCTACCTAGTCATAAACAACAACCTTTGTTTTCTCTGCTGGTTGACTGATGTGGAAAACCTTCTCTGAATGATAAGTTATCTAACATGGGATTTTTTTTTTTTTTTTTGTGACATTCCAACCTTACTTTCCACAGACGTGACGTTGTGTTTGGCCAAGCGGTTATAAAACGGTGGTGTGGTGAGGTTAGAGCTAAATCTGTATTTACTTTGTTTGGACCAAACTGAGGTGCAGACAACCACACACCAGGGAAACGCTGCTGAAGTGTGTCAACACAACTGCAGGTTTGTAACAGAGAAGAAAAATCCAAATAGATTTTTAAAAACCAAACAAACATCACCACTGAAGTGTTATTTTTTACAGGATATAAATTTAGGCCAAACCTGCAGAGAAAACCTGCTGTGTTTTCTACAGTCAAGGATCAGACTCTAACTGGTACAAGTCAGTTTCTACCAGTCAGAGTGTCGTTGTTTAGGCCTCAGTCTAATGACCTGCCATTGACTGGAGAGCAGCTACGACGCCGTCGTTGACAGAAGCTGTTGAATATCTACTGTTTACATCTGACTGTCTCTCTCTCGCTCTCTCTCTCTCTGTGTTCTCACAGATCCGTGTGCCGTATCCGGAGCTAAGCCCCTCAAACCCCAGCGTTCCCTGCCAGGAACACCTGTTTCTCTCACGCAGTATCCACCGGACCTGAGAGCATCCATGGAGGAGAAGTTCAAAGAGATCGCGGAGGTACAGATGGTTGTTGGTGGAGACGAGGAGGTCGAACGAACACAGGCGTAGTCTGCCGTCACATCAGTGACTACAGTCATTTATCACTCATTCACGTTGTTGTTCGTTGGTCACTTTTTGTTTTTTCTGTCTCCTATCAGTAAATTAGCAAAACAAAATCTCTGAATAATGAATAGAATTAATTATAAATACTAATGTACATTTAGCAGGATCTCCATCATTTTCAACACAACATGCACATATTTAGAAATTTAGAAATCAGAAAATCAGATACAGTTTGTCAAGAAACTGAACTCACCCCCTCTTTTTTTTTTTTTTTTTTACTGTCACATTTTACCAAAATTGTTTCATGTTTTTTCATGACAACATGTCGTTCCTGTGTAGCTGACTGTAGGAAAGAAGGGAAAGTAAATAATGTTCTTAAAGTATTAAATTTCATTGGTAGGAAACTCCATGATCTGCAGTTTTTTACCAGTTAAAATAAAAATTTAATCTGTTTGTCAAACATGGGTTTATCTCTTAACTGAACAAATAATGTTGGTATTTATTGTTGTAGTAGTAAAAAATATTCCATTGTGTTTAATTTATTTTTTGTCTTTCGTCTTGTTAGTCCCAGTTTCTCTGCTTAAAAAAAAAAAGATTTTTCTGACCACTAGGATATAAACTATAAAATGTTGACTCTTGTGTCGACTCCAGGAGCTGTTCACTCGCAGCATGACGGAGAGCGAGATGCGCAGCGCTCCGTACGAGTTCCCGGAGGACAGTCCCATCGAACAGCTGGAGGAGAGACGACACCGGCTGGAGAGACAAATCAGCCAGGACATCAAGTGAGACAAAAGGACAAAAATAAACTCTGTTTTTACACACACACACACACACAGACACACACACACGTCGATCAGCTTCCAACATGTCAGGTGTGTTGCTAACTAACCACTGGGTGTCAGCATTTCAAAGTTTAATAGGAGGTGGGTTCCTTCTGGGTGGTTCAGCTCTGTTTGTGACACGCCCCCTGCAGGCAAACAGGGCTCACTGCTTCTAACTGATATGGTGTTTGCCAATTCGTGTCCCTGTCTTTTTGATCCAACACTAACTGAGGTTGATGTTGTTGATGTTGTAATGGAGCCACTCTGTTTGTTGTGCTCTTCTCTTGGTGTCTCTGTTCATGTGCTTACTTTCCTTCTCACTGCCTCTGACGCCCCCTCCTGCCCCCCCCACCACACTGCACCACTGCATATCACCCCCAGGCTTGAACCGGAGATCTTGCTGCGCGCCAAGCAGGACTTCATGAAAATCGACAGTGTGACAGACCTAGAGTGAGTGAGCGCTGCTTCAGTTTGTTTGATATCTGCAGTGACTTTTTTTTTCTTTCTGTTTCTCATTTGTCCTCATGTACTTTGACTTCGTCTCTGCTTGCTTCGTTACCTGACGTTTTACTGTGTGTCATGACTCTATGCAGCTCATGTCGGTGTCAGTGTCTGCACAGCTTATATATATATGTATGTATATATTCCCTGTGTTGAAATGAACTTCATCGCCCCCTGCTGGTTACTTGAGATAAACGTTGGTGTCAGTATTTCTCTTTGGATTCCTACTAACTGACCTAAAACGAGTCTCTACCACTTCATCCTTGTTTCAATGGTCATTGGTGAGATGCAGCCGATCCCCCCTGTGGCTGGATGAGGGCACTGCATCCAAGACAGTTCAGCAGTCCATCACAGGGACAGGAACTTTCCACTCACGTTCACAGCTGTGGTCAATTGAGAGTTAACAACGACTCACTGGTCTGTGGTGTTTTAACCACTCTTCAACAGTGTAAACAAGGCCGTAGTTATACTGTTTTTACAGACATTAAATATGACTCAAAACTTTTTTTTTCCACACACGCGGTACTTTTCCTTAAAAAAAAAAGTACTTCCTTCAAGTGACATTTTGTTTTTTCTACTTTTACTTAATGTGCTGTTTACAATTGACTTTTAGTCAGTTCTGCTAAATCTCTTAACGTAGCAGAGACTTTGAAAAAAAAAAAAGAATTTAAGAACAGAGATTTTCAAAGGTGAGTCACCATTTTGAAATAAAATATAAAGTCTTTATCCTCAGGCAGCATGTCAGTCTGTACGTTTTATCCTTCCCGTTGGCGTTCTTCATTATTTTTATTATTGTTCCAAATTTCTCAGGATAATGAAGGACAGCGGGGTGGACGATGTTGACATGGCCATGAAGGAGAGAGAAATACCCATGGAGCGGGAATATCAGCGGGTGTCCATATCTGGAGAGGAGAAGTGTGGGGTGAGCAGCTTCAGTCTTTTTTTTTTTCTTCCGTTGTTTTATCGCCTGAACTCGGACAATCGACATAAAAAAAAGAAGAAAGAAAACTCAACTCCTGCTGCAGCGGCTCTCACAGCAGTGCACTGATTTTCTGCAGGTGCCGTTCACCGACCTGTTGGACGCCGCCAAGTGCGTGGTGAAGGCCCTGTTCATCCGGGAGAAGTACATCAACAGATCCATGCAGAACTTCTGTAAGACCACGGCCCAGGCCTTACAGGAGCTGGGGATGAGGAACATGGACCTGGGCGTCTACGACGACCACCAGGACACCCCCGTAGATGCTGGTGCGTCGGCAGAGCTGCTGTTTGTCACTGATGACTCAGCAGGTTTAATATGAAGAAGGTTTGTTTAAAGCTCTTTATTAAAACTGCCCCTCTGTGCCCCCCCCACCCCTGACCCCTGACCCCACCCCTCCCAGATGCTCCTTTTCACCCGCCTGTTTCAGAGACACATCCCTACGACAACATGGACCCACAGAGCATGCCCACGGACTCAGGATACGGGTGCAAGATGGTGGACGGAGTTGTCCACGTCTATGTCAACAAAGACAACATGGACAAGTGCGTATTTATCTGTATTTGTCGTATGTAGGGCTGTCAATCATCAACAAAATAATAAATAAATAAATCAAGTTTCCAGTCTGCCGTTACACCTTTGAAGCTGCCTCTTTACAGAAGTGCGGAGGTGGACCTGCCGTATCCAGATCTGAAGGAATACATCGCCGACATGAATGTGATGATGTCTTTGATCATCAACGGACCAGTGTGAGTTTTCATCTGACGCCATTCAACGTCCGCGGTCGACTGCCGCTCTGACATGACTTCTGACAGAAACACTCTCTGTTTTTTTTTTTGTTTTTTTTCCATCCGTGCCACAGGAAGTCTTTCTGCTACCGCCGTCTCCAGTACCTGAGCTCCAAGTTCCAGATGCACATTCTCCTGAATGAGATGAAGGAGCTGGCAGCTCAGAAGAAGGTTCCTCACAGAGACTTCTACAACATACGGAAGGTAAAGTTGGCATGTTTTCTTTTAGTTCAGTCATGTTTTGGAGTCTTCGCCGGGAAGAAGACATAAAATAAAAACTGTATTTGTTAATAAAGGGATGGATACCTGTCATACACTCAAATCACCACTAGATGTTGCCTAAGTCATCACACTGGGGACATTTTGTGATAAAACAAATTAAAAGAGAAATCTAAACGCCACGGGACATTTTTGAACATTTTATTCACCACTTAGATTTACTAACTTGAGCGCTGACCAACTGCTCTCTATTGCCCCCAGGTGGACACACATATACATGCATCATCCTGCATGAACCAGAAGCACCTGCTGAGGTTCATCAAGAGAGCCATGAAGAAGTACCCGGAGGAGATCGTCCACATCGAGAACGGTCGAGGTCAGACCCTCAAAGAGGTCTTTGAGACCATGAACCTGACGGCGTACGACCTGAGCGTCGACACCCTGGACATGCATGCGGTGAGAAAAAAAAAAAATTATAAACTAATTTTGTTTGAGGAATATGCAACTGGAATAAAATGTTTGTAGATCCCAACCTGTTCCTCCTTCTCTTCAGGACCGCAACACGTTCCACCGCTTTGACAAGTTCAACTCCAAATACAACCCAATCGGAGAATCCATTCTCAGAGAGATTTTCATCAAGACCGACAACTGCATTAACGGAAAATACTTTGCACATATAGTCAAGGTGTGGAGTAAAAAAAAAAATATATATATATATATATAAACTTGTCTCCTTTATGTAATCAGTCCAGATCATTTGGATGAATCCTCTTCTCATCTTGGTGCGTGTTTCCAGGAGGTGATGTTTGACCTGGAGGAGAGCAAGTACCAGAACTCTGAGCTACGTCTGTCCATCTACGGTCGGTGCAGAGACGAATGGGACAAGCTGGCCCAGTGGGCCGTCCATCACCGGGTCTACTCCAACAATGTGCGCTGGCTCATCCAGGTGCCTCGACTGTTGTAAGTTTCATCTCTCCTGGGAATGGAAGAATGAAGTCTTTTTATACTTTTGATTTGAAGTCGTTTTCTGTCAGAGCGAAGCAGAAAAAACATGTCTGTAAACATTTTCCTCCTTGGTGTCGTCACTGTGGTTTGAGTTGGACTCACATCCTGTAGAGATCAGGGCGATCTCTGGGAGAAGTCAAAAGTAGAAAAAAAAAAAAAAAAACAAGCCGACACGAGAGTCGTCCCAGTCCGACCACAGTTTTATTACAGGCGGACGATCGTGACGTACAGGAGGTCGTTTTAAGTGCAAAACAAAAAAAAAATTTCCAGCAGTGGAAGTGACATCATCCTGGCTACAGGAAGTAATCATTCCAACCTATTAAAACAATAACTCTGTCCGTGGTAACTTTATTAAGACCTGGTAGCTGTACACAGTATTGAGGAGTACTCATGGAAATATAAAATAAAAAAATATTCAGACTTTAATAATAACAGATGTCCATGTTTTGTCTTCCCCCTCCCTCCGTCCACAGTGACGTGTACCACACCAAGAAGCAGCTGGCCAACTTCCAGGAGATGTTGGAGAACATCTTCCTGCCTCTGTTTGAAGTCACCATCGACCCCCGCAGTCACCCCGAGCTCCACCTCTTCTTAGAACACGTCGGTGTCTCTTCACACCATCGATCCACACACGGTCGTGACGTTTAACTCTCTTATGGTCTTCTTTTTTCTTCACCATCGATCCACACACGGTCGTGACGGTTGACTCTCTTATGGTGAAGGTGATTTTTTTTTTCTTTTTTTTTCCCCCGCTGGCTCCAACAGGTGGTGGGCTTCGACAGCGTGGACGACGAGTCCAAACCTGAGCAACACATCTTCAACCTGGACAGTCCGCTGCCGGCCGACTGGACAGAGGAGAACAACCCCCCCTACTCCTACTACCTGTACTACACCTACGCCAACATGACTGTGCTGAACCACCTGAGAAGGTAGAGCCACCAGTTGAGAAACCTGCTGTTCAGTCGGCCTGTGTTTAAAACCAGATTTTAAGACTGTTTTTCTCTGTTGAAATGAAAAAAAAAGACGACGAGGTTTTCATACCTTCGTCCTGCGACCTCACTGCGGGGAGGCGGGGCCAATCCACCACCTGGTGTCAGGTTTCATCCTGTCGGAGAACATCTCTCACGGACTGCTGCTCAGAAAGGTCAGAGTTCAGCTCTAAAATATAACCAGTGGGGAGTTTTCACCCTAACCTTCACCTGTTGGTCGCTCCTGGGCTGAGCTTTTTTTTATTTATTTTTTTCCCCTCCTCCCTCCAGGCTCCAGTACTGCAGTATCTGTACTACTTGGCCCAAATTGGCATCGCCATGTCTCCGCTGAGTAACAACAGCCTGTTCCTCAGTTACCACCGTAACCCCCTGCCGGAGTATCTGTCCAGAGGTCTGATAGTGTCTCTGTCCACTGATGACCCTCTTCAGTTCCACTTCACTAAGGTCAGTTTGGCTCCTGGATCGTCAGAGCCTGATTGGTTAAAAAAAAACAAAATTAAAAAATCATGGGGCGTGTGTGTACTCACAGGAGCCCCTGATGGAGGAGTACAGCATTGCCACTCAGGTGTGGAAACTGAGCTCCTGTGACATGTGTGAGTTGGCACGAAACAGTGTCCTCATGAGTGGATTTTCACACAAGGTAAAATAAATAAATTCTTTAAAAAAATTCAAATTGTTGAAGGAAGGTCAAAAGGTCAAATGACATCATTATGAAACATTATAAAATACTAGTACTTTGTTATTCTATAATAATGCAGGATGTTAATTGTTTAGAGATTTTTATGTCAGAACTGTTTCAACCCAGAAGTGTCACAAAAACATGTTTACTCAAAAGTCAAACATAAAAAGAAATGAATTAAAATTGAAGTTTTCTTTTTTTTTTTTTTTTACTCCTACACCCAGTCATCTTCTTCACACTGTTTCCAGGTCAAAGGTTATTGGCTCGGCCCCTGTTATGTCAAAGATGGTCCCGAGAGCAACGACATCAGTCGCACCAACGTCCCCGACATCCGCGTCGCCTACCGCAGCGAGACGCTCATCGATGAGCTCCACCTGATCACGCACGCCGTTCGCACCGATGAGCTGGACACGATCAACGAGGAGGAGGACGCCCTGTCCATGGGCCCGCTGCCTGGGGGGCGCTGAACGCCCTGTGGTCCGGACGGTGGGACGCTGGAGTGACGGTGTGTGTGTGTGTGTGTGTGTGAGAGAGAGAGAGAGGGAGAGAGAGGGAGAGTTTATATGTACTGTTCATCACATCACCATAAGAGAAGCCAAGGATCCATAAACTTGTCTCCTTTATGTAATCAGTCCAGATATTTGGATGAATCCTCTTCTCATCTTGGTGCGTGTTTCCAGGAGGTGATGTTTGACCTGGAGGAGAGCAAGTACCAGAACTCCGAGCTACGTCTGTCCATCTACGGTCGGTGCAGAGACGAATGGGACAAGCTGGCCCAGTGGGCCGTCCATCACCGGGTCTACTCCAACAATGTGCGCTGGCTCATCCAGGTGCCTCGACTGTTGTAAGTTTCATCTCTCCTGGGAATGGAAGAATGAAGTCTTTTTATACTTTTGATTTGAAGTCGTTTTCTGTCAGAGCGAAGCAGAAAAAACATGTCTGTAAACATTTTCCTCCTTGGTGTCGTCACTGTGGTCTGAGTTGGACTCACATCCTGTAGAGATCAGGGCGATCTCTGGGAGAAGTCAAAAGTAGAAAAAAAAAAAAAAACAAACCGACACGAGAGTCGTCCCAGTCCGCCCACAGTTTTATTACAGGCGGACGATCGTGACGTACAGGAGGTCGTTTTAAGCGCAAAACAAAAAATGTTTTTCCAGCAGTGGAAGTGACATCATCCTGGCTACAGGAAGTAATCATTCCAACCTATTAAAACAATAACTCTGTCCGTGGTAACTTTATTAAGACCTGGTAGCTGTACACAGTATTGAGGAGTACTCATGGAAATATAAAATAAAAAAATATTCAGACTTTAATAATAACAGATGTCCATGTTTTGTCTTCCCCCTCCCTCCGTCCACAGTGACGTGTACCACACCAAGAAGCAGCTGGCCAACTTCCAGGAGATGTTGGAGAACATCTTCCTGCCTCTGTTTGAAGTCACCATCGACCCCCGCAGTCACCCCGAGCTCCACCTCTTCTTAGAACACGTCGGTGTCTCTTCACACCATCGATCCACACACGGTCGTGACGTTTAACTCTCTTATGGTCTTCTTTTTTCTTCCCCGCTGGCTCCAACAGGTGGTGGGCTTCGACAGCGTGGACGACGAGTCCAAACCTGAGCAACACATCTTCAACCTGGACAGTCCGCTGCCGGCCGACTGGACAGAGGAGAACAACCCCCCCTACTCCTACTACCTGTACTACACCTACGCCAACATGACTGTGCTGAACCACCTGAGAAGGTAGAGCCACCAGTTGAGAAACCTGCTGTTCAGTCGGCCTGTGTTTAAAACCAGATTTTAAAACTGTTTTTCTCTGTTGAAATGAAAAAAAAAGACGACGAGGTTTTCATACCTTCGTCCTGCGACCTCACTGCGGGGAGGCGGGGCCAATCCACCACCTGGTGTCAGGTTTCATCCTGTCGGAGAACATCTCTCACGGACTGCTGCTCAGAAAGGTCAGAGTTCAGCTCTAAAATATAACCAGTGGGGAGTTTTCACCCTAACCTTCACCTGTTGGTCGCTCCTGGGCTGAGCTTTTTTTTATTTATTTTTTTCCCCTCCTCCCTCCAGGCTCCAGTACTGCAGTATCTGTACTACTTGGCCCAAATTGGCATCGCCATGTCTCCGCTGAGTAACAACAGCCTGTTCCTCAGTTACCACCGTAACCCCCTGCCGGAGTATCTGTCCAGAGGTCTGATAGTGTCTCTGTCCACTGATGACCCTCTTCAGTTCCACTTCACTAAGGTCAGTTTGGCTCCTGGATCGTCAGAGCCTGATTGGTTTAAAAAAAAAAACAAAATCATCGTCAGAGCCTGATTGGTTAAAAAAAAACAAAATTAAAAAATCATGGGGCGTGTGTGTACTCACAGGAGCCCCTGATGGAGGAGTACAGCATTGCCACTCAGGTGTGGAAACTGAGCTCCTGTGACATGTGTGAGTTGGCACGAAACAGTGTCCTCATGAGTGGATTTTCACACAAGGTAAAATAAATAAATTCTTTAAAAAAATTCAAATTGTTGAAGGAAGGTCAAAAGGTCAAATGACATCATTATGAAACATTATAAAATACTAGTACTTTGTTATTCTATAATAATGCAGGATGTTAATTGTTTAGAGATTTTTATGTCAGAACTGTTTCAACCCAGAAGTGTCACAAAAACATGTTTACTCAAAAGTCAAACATAAAAAGAAATGAATTAAAATTGAAGTTTTCTTTTTTTTTTTTTTTTACTCCTACACCCAGTCATCTTCTTCACACTGTTTCCAGGTCAAAGGTTATTGGCTCGGCCCCTGTTATGTCAAAGATGGTCCCGAGAGCAACGACATCAGTCGCACCAACGTCCCCGACATCCGCGTCGCCTACCGCAGCGAGACGCTCATCGATGAGCTCCACCTGATCACGCACGCCGTTCGCACCGATGAGCTGGACACGATCAACGAGGAGGAGGACGCCCTGTCCATGGGCCCGCTGCCTGGGGGGCGCTGAACGCCCTGTGGTCCGGACGGTGGGACGCTGGAGTGACGGTGTGTGTGTGTGTGTGTGTGTGAGAGAGAGAGAGAGAGAGAGAGAGAGAGTTTATATGTACTGTTCATCACATCACCATAAGAGAAGCCAAGGATCCAGTGCTGTCTGCACTCACTCGCTCACTCACTCGCTCACTCACTCACTCTCTCACTCTCTCACTAATGTTTTTCCTTTGCACTAAATATATATTTGTTTAGTTTTTGTCAGTATGAGAAGGTGTTTACCAGGAAACGACCAGTGCTGCTTTGTTTTTGTTTTTTTCTGGATAAGACATACAGTACCACAGTTCACCATTAGAGGTCAGTGTTTACCAGAGATGTAACGATGCATCGCAAATCGATTACAATACAGCGTGACAATTCGCATCGGTTGAAAAAAAAATCTCAAAAAGTCACTGGTCAGACCATGACACTACACACTCTAGTACAGTAGGTGGCGGTGTGCGCCTAAAAACGTTGGTTATGACCCGCTGTTTACAGTGTTCCTGTAAAGAAAGGAACTCTTTCCAGTCCCAGGTCCACGGAACCATTTCAGTTTTTACAAATAAAGGATCGTTTGATTTGGTCAGAATTTATCTGGAGCTCATTTTGTCAAAAAAAAAATGGCAATGTGACAAAAAGTTGCAAATCATATCGTATTGTGTGCATCGTCACATCCCTGGTGTTTACGTCGTCTCACACACACACACACACACACACTCACGTGACTCCTGTCAGTCACTGCTGCTGAATCCGTTGAAAACACAGACAACTGTCAAATGTTTTCAGTTTCTAAGAACTACAATCATCGTGTGTCAACGTCGTCTCTCAGTCAAACTGGAAACACAGAAGCCTCAGCCTCACTGCTGTAGTGCTCATGAGCAAACGGATGAATACACACATCCAGGAAAATGTAATTCTTTTCGAAGAAATTTTTTTTTTTTTACAGAGAAAACTAACATGTTATTTGAGAAGCTAACGTCGTTAAACAGAGTTTCAGCTTCAGTTTCCTGATCTACAGTAAACAAAAAAAATGTAATGGTCAATAAAACCATCAAAGTAAACCACAGATCATGTTTCAAAGTATTGAGAAGTACTTCAGTACAATGACATTTTCCTAGGGGGCGCCAGGCGTATAAACTAGGGAGGTCCGATATTAGCATAATGACAATATATCGGTGAGAATCGTGATCATTTTTTTCCTCCAATAATGAATTCCAGATATTATAATGTCTGGGTTTGACCTGGAAATGGTCATGAAGTGAATCCTCTGTCTTGAACCCAAACGGATTAATTAATTTCGTAAAATATTTGGACAACATCGGCAAAAAGTTAACATCGGACTTCTCTAGTCTAAACGTTTTTGTCCTGAGTCCGTAGTGAAGTGGAACTGAACTGGGGGCCATCAGCTGTAAACATTCCATGAACCGACCTCATCGAACCGGCCAGCACTGCTGCAGCGCCACCTTTCTGTGATGAAGCTGCCTTTTTGTTTTCATATTTCTGTGAGAAAAATAGAGATGAACCATTTTTTAATAATGTTTTTTTTTTTTTTTTTTTACACATGAACAGATGAAGGGTGACCTTTATCGTTTGTAGCCAAGACATTTTTCATGTCCTGTCCCTTTAAGGGATCTGAACGTTGTGGAGTTTACCTTGTTTATATCTGGTTAATGTGCACCACCTGGTCCACAGTGCCTTTTTTTTTTTTTTTTTTTAGCTCTGCCCACTGTTTGCCAACCCTCCTCCGAGCTGTTTACATACGTTAATGTCGGCTTTTTGTCACGCAGCGTTTTTTTTATGAATTTTATTTTCAGTACGTTTGGCCTTAAAGCTGTAGAAATGAAACTCAAAGCCCGGCCCCGTCCGGCCGCTCGCTTAGTGTAAATAGTGTTTAAGTCAAACTCTGTTGCATGTTGGCATGATGATGATGATGATGATGATGATGATGATGATGATGATGAAGGAGGTGAACGAGCCGACGGGCAGCTGTCATTTGTAGCAGCAGGAGGTTAAAGGTTAAAGCTGCTGACCAGACTCAGGAGCCTGTGTCGTGTTGGGTGTTTTTTGTTTTTTGTTTTTTGTTTTCTATAAAGAGAGCAAATAAATTAAAATTCAGGATTCCTTACCATGCCGAAGAGTGCAAAGCATGCTGGGACATGGATGGGACAGTGGCATGGTTCATGTAGCATTTATTTTCTACAAAGTTCTTTTGTAGTAAAGTTGGTTCATTTACTAAAAACAATGCAATACATTTTATAAAATAATGTTTTAAAAAATATGAAAGTTGAGTCGAGAGGTGGAACCAGCTGCTGAATGAGCGTGACTTCACACGGGTGCAGGTGGTAACCGTCGGTCCTGGCGTTTCTGTTGGAGGTTTAAAATGATTCATTTGTTTAGAGATTAGAATAAATCTGGTAATAAATAATATAATATTGTTCATTAAGATTACTGAAGTTTCAGTGCATTTTTAGAAAATATACCAACTTTTCTGGAAGTGCACACACGCACACACACACACCTCTGTGTACTGTAAAATCGTCACATGACTCCACCTTCTCACTGGATTTCGTCCAAACTCCCGTCAAAGACTGTGAAGCCTCCACGATGCTAAGGCTGGGGAACGAAAAAACTATTAAAAAAAAAAAAGAAATATTAGCTTTATTTGAATTTGAAACCATTTAAATAAAACAACTCTGATGTCGTTGAACGCACGCGTGTTTGCTTTGGTAGAAGAGAGGCCTCGGAGCGGCGGCCTCGGAGCGGGGAGCGGCGGCGTCAGAGCGATGCACTGGAGTGTTGTATATAAGTGTATTTTTTTAAAGTGACAGAGATGAGAGATTTTATATTCACAGTTTATGGACTTGGTTTTGATTCCACTCACAGTGTGGATAAATGTGTGTGAACGTATTTTCTTCTCCAGGCTGTGTTGACAGTTTTTTTTTTTATTTTGTTGAATTCATTTGACACGTCTTTCTGTCTTTACTCATAATTCACCCTTCACTACCGAAGGTCACATGTTCGATGCCCTCATGTTAGGCAAAGTGACCCATAGTCAACATTACTGCAGTTATATTTATGTTATATATAAAAAGAACCAATTTTTTTTTCTTCTTTGAATTAACGTTAAATCTGATCCTATTGGTCAAGCTAGAAATTTTATGTTGTTTTTTTTTTCAATTAATCGAATTGAAAAACATATATATATTATATAAAATCAAATCAGAATCTTTGAGTTTTATATAAAGTAAAAGTCATTTTCCAAATACACAAAACCCTCCCGGCATTTTATTTACTTTATTTCTGTCTGTGTGCGTACAGTACATCACAGTCATTGTTCATCGTTTTCATGTTGGATTTTAATCTAAAGTGTGTTTTTTTTTTTAAGTGATACCTTTCTCCTTTTTTCTTTGATGATGAAGTTTTTATTTTTCAGTATAAATAATTTGAGCCTTCATGGATCTGTAGCCACTTCAATGCCTGACTGGATCGACAGTGTTGACGATTTAAAAAATGCCTCTGATAATATTCACATGTAATGTTTAAAAAGAAAATTCAATAAAAATAAAGCATGTTCACTCACAGCCTGTTAGTTCATTAACTGTTGGCTGTTTGACTGACTGGTATTTACACGGAAATATTGACTTAAATATTAACACACGACTGCAGTGCAGGATTAACTGTTAGCTCAACATGAGAATCATTAGCTTCTGTGTTCGGTTAACTTAAAAAAAAAAATCATAACTGCCCTGTGATTAGTCTGACTTTAATCAATTGACTTTATATTAATAAGTGTAAATAATCCTCAAAGGTAAGAACATGGATCCACACTTGACAGGAAATGGGATTTGACACTTTGAATTTTTGTAGCTTAATGATAAACTCCTCCTCTTCCTCCTCTTCCTCATCCTCCTCCTCCATCTTCTCCCTCTCCCTCTCACCACCAGGCCGCCGTCACTGGACAGAGAGCAGCTTGTGTTTGTGCTTGTATCTGTTGTTGCCGTGGTAACAGTGAATCTCAGCTCTGCTCAGTCACTCACAGCCATGTTGGACCTGACAGCCTGTAACTCATGGAAAACCCGTCCTCCTTCCTCCGGACACACCAGCTTCAGCTCCTCTCTGGTCATTCCCAGCAGCATGGAGCTGCTCAGCACGCCCAGGCACCGCACGGTGCTGCAGGGGGTTAATCAGATGACGGATCAGTCGCGGTTCTTTTTAATTCTTCCTAATTCATTTTATTTCTGAAGCTTCATTTACATACGACTGTACGACGTTTAAAGCTAAAAACGTGCCAGAATTTTGTGACGGTGCCTTAGCGGCCTGGTCTGATGCCTTGATTTAAAGTTTGATTTCCATTATTGTTTCATCACTAACGCTAATTTGATATTAGTGACATCATCAGTGATACGTAAGACATTCACTAAGGGGCCGTTACATTTTACCGTAATACTACGAGTATCATCAAATCTTGATGTAAAATCAGTGAACGTACATTTTACTGAAGCCTTGGTTTTCCAGCCAAGCTCTGACCTCCGGAGGTTTAGAGTTTCGAGTGAGGAAAGGAGAACCAATCATCTGAGAAAATAGCATGATTATTATTATTTATTTATTTATTTATTTTAGGGATGTCCGATAATATCGTCCGACCAACATTATTGTCCCGATATCCGTTATCTTTTTTTTTTTCGATAATGAAAACGCAATGCCTGGGTTTCGCCAAACGCTGTGTGTCATAAAAATAGTTTTACAATGCCTAGTTTTGCCAAATGCTGTGTGTCTTAATAATACTTTTAGGGATAAACAGGTGTATATAAAAGTGAAGGTCACTAGATGGCAGCATTGCAGCTCATTAAATTAATCTCATACTCGTACAGTGGTTTGTACAGATGAATAAATAAATAAATATTACCAGGCCAATATCGGTGTTGGTTGATATTGTAATTTGGCAAACACTTAATATCGCACATCCCTGATTATTATTATTATTATTATTATTATTATTATTATTATTGTTATAATTATTAGCTGCGTGCTTTCTCCACGTCTGTGTGGTTGACCTTGTGAGATGGTTCGTCCGTCTGAAGGACGTTGTTGGGAACATATCCCTCCTCTCCGCTGCTGTTCATCACTTTCCACCACTGCCTGGATGTGTCCAGTACCTGTGGACACACGGGTCACTGGTCAGTTTCCACCTCACCTCAACTATTTCTCCTTTTGTGACGGTCAGTTCTCTGTTGTTTCTGGAAGTGAAATCGTAAAGCACTCGAACGTAGCGTTCACGTTTGGAATCTTCAGACGACCTGTGGAGACGCACGACACGTCGACTGTCAGGGTCTCGGAGTTTCACACGATTATTACTGACACACACACACACACACACACACACGTGGTCGTTCTCACCGTGGTGGTTGTTGTTGTGGCGGTGGTTGATACTCAGGAGACCAGCTGGTCGAGGTCTACACAGGAGGAGATCAGGTCACATGACTGACTGACGTGAACTGTCGGCCCGTCCGTCTGTGAAGACTCACCTGTCTGACTGCAGGCTCCGGTCTTCTCTCTGGTCTTCTCTCTGGTCTTCTCTCCGGTCTTCTCTCCGGTCTTCTCTCTGGTCCACTCAGCTCTGGTTCTGCTGCCGTGTCTCCAGGATGCTGCCAATCATCGGAGAACCTCTGAGTGTACGACAGGTCGTCCTGGTCGTACTGTGGCCACTCGCTGCTCGTCCAAGCGTTAAATTAAAAAAAACACAAAAAAATTAAAAATTACTTTCTTATTTTAAAAAAAATATTAAATCACATTGAGCCGAGTGTCTGACTCGAGGTTTATCCATGCGTCTCCCAGGGACTGCCACAGGTGGCGCTCTTCTGCGGACACCTCCTCACGTATCAGATGGACGCACTGAGGCGTCAGCTTTGGTGAAACGATGGACTTTGGCAGATTCTCTGGACAGTGAGGTATCAGCTGATCAATGAGAGAAGAGATGTTTTACGTTCACCTCCGACCTCAACACAACTGGACACAGAGTTCAAATAAGTCAGAAAAAACTGGACGTCCTGGTCGTGACTTACAAAAGCCAGAATTGAGAAGAGCGCGTGGACAAATTCAGGAGCAGAGGGATTATTGATCCTTCCATCCAGCTCCCCCTGGAACAAAAAAACCAAAAACATTTTCTCACACCACACAGCATCAACACTGTGACATCACAGACACAAATGAACGTCATGAACGAACGTCTGTGACGTTGTCGGCAGATATGACGTCGGCAGATACGACTTACGAGGAGGTTGAATCCACATTTGATCTTCTGGAAACAAACGGCAAATTCCTCTGTCGGAGGCATTCCACTCACTGTCAACGTGAACAGAGGTTTATATTTCACACAGATCTGTTCCGTCATCGGCCTGTAGTCACTAATTTACCTTTTTTATTTTTCTTCTTTTTCTTCTTCTCTGTAGCCGCTGCTGCGGACACTTGAGCCACGAAGAGCTCAACGTCATTCAGCGTCTGGTTTAAAAAGTCCTGCGAGGACGAAAGAAGGAAAAGATTTGACAAATAAATGAGAAAATAAAATGTCATTTAATTTAATTCAGGTTAATTCAAATAAAATGTCATTTAATTTAATTCAGTTTATCTGACTATAAGACTGACTGACTGACCACACTCCTGTCCAGGTCGCTGCCCCCTTGTGGAGGAGTGTGGTGGTTCTCACTGGAAGGTGTTCTCCTGATGAAGGACGGAGCCTCCTCTTTGTCCTCGTCTTCTTCCGTCACATAGAAAAACAAAATGTCAACACATTTCTTCCATGTTCCACCCCTTCGTTGACATTCAGACCCACTCTGTCCTCCGTCCAGTGACGGTCTCACCGTAGCCGTTGGTCCACGACTGATCGGAACGTCTCTGGTCCTTCGGTTCATACGTCTGTGCAGCGGTGTAGCCGCTCTGCTCTTCTGAAACACTGGTTTAAAAAAAAACAGAAGTCTCGTCAACGTTGATCACTGTGACGTGGACGACAGCGATGGACGACGGTGATGGACGACGGCGGTCTCTCTGTTCCACTTACTACAGACGAGGATTGTCTCTCCTCCGTGAAATGACTTGTGAGAGGTTTGTCTGAACAAGCTCAGCCTAAAACACAGACATAATTATATATTACTGGACATCCCTGGTGAAAGTCATCATGTCTGGACGTGTCCTCACCTTCATGTCCTCACACTGGAACATGAGGACAGTGGTGCCCCCCCTCCTCCCCGACTTCACTGTAATAATGAGCAGGGAGTTGAACTTTCCAGTCTCCAGATCAGCCTTCAACTCCAGGATGTCACTGAGAGCGAACGACTCCAGTTCCTCCTAAAAAAAAAGTTCTTTGATAAGTAACTTCGAACGACTCCAGTTCCTCCTAAAAAAAGTTATTTAATAAGTAACTAAAATGAACCTTAATGTTTATTTACTCATCAAAGGACATTAAAGGTCACGACCTCACCACCAGGAAAAGAAAATCATCTGACTATGAAGTTTTTTCTTTTTCTTGTCGTTGTCTACCTTGGTTTCGGTGTCAGTGAGCAGGAGGTCAAGGCCTCGGACCTCCAGCAGCATGTTCTGACCCCACACTCGTCCCATCTCCTCCAGCAGCTTCAGACGCTCCATACAGTCGGAGACGGTTCTCAGCTCCTTCCCGTCCAGGTCGCAGGAGTACAGGTGCTGCCACACAGGTGTAGTAGGAGTTAGAACAAGAAGAGGAAAGAGAGAGAAAGGAAACAGGTTTCAGACGGTACCTCCACCCTGTGCTGGAAGCTGTCCATCATCTGGTTGGTAGAGGCTGCGTACGCCTTTCTCTGTACTTTGGAAACATGGAGCAGAGTTCTGTTTTTTATTTTATTTTATTTTTGTTAAAATAAAGTGAACACACGAAGCCATTTGTTCTGTGAAATGCAGCGAACAGAACTTACAGTATATTGACTTTGCGTTGGGCCTCGACAGATCTGGGATCTGTGATGGCGCTTCGTCCAGATTTGTGGTCGTGTATCCACTGTACAAACAAGTACACAGTATATATGTCATACATCTGCATACATAATCCGCTCAGACACGCAGTACTGTCACGTGACTGTACGTACTTGGACTGAATTGATCCTGCGTAGCTGCTGTTGTCATCGTTGCCAAAGTGACTGAACATCTTCGGTGTTGAGCCGACAGCCCGATACTTTTCACATACGACAGGATTTACACAAACACACACAGCACAAATATTACAACTAGTAACGTGGGCTTTAAATTTCCCTGAAAGATGTGTGTAAATGAACAGAATAAAACGAGAACCTTTTGTTAAAACAAAAAAGTTTTTTAATCTAATTGTAAAATATCAGAAAAGAAAACAACATATTCTGGTATTTTTAATTTTTTATATTAATTTCACCAAAATCCATCGCATGATGTGTTTTGGTTTCTTTTTAAAAATCGGATTATCGTTGGTTTGTGGTTTTATTTTTGTATTTTCGTTATTTCTTTAAATCCAAGCTTTTATTTTGAAGGTCAACGGATGTGTGGTGTGTACCCCCTTTCTCTCGTTAGTTTGTGTTGTTCCTGATTGAGAGAGGTAAGTTGTTGATGCTACAACATTTTTAAAACGTTTTATTAAAGTGTTTAATACGACATTGATGAGTAAATGTTGCCGTAACATTTTCCGGAGATGTTTATCGATGTTTATTGTCATTTACGGCGACATTTATAGGAGCAGTTTGGAGCAAAAGAGGGAAAGATGTTTTACCGTGGTTTCCACCTGTATAAATGTTTGTGGTGCGCATGCGCCTTCCATGTTATAACTTACATGTTAAATGTATTTTCTTTTCTTGCTAGGAGGACGCCACACTTACGTTTACGTGTTTTCATGATCTCCGTGCAGGTACGTTTGTGGTCCGTTCTCTTTAATCAACGATGTTATTAAGTTATTTAGTCAGTTTGTGTTGTTCCTAACAACAAGTTCGTTTCACTCACGTTTACATGTTTTAATGATCATGGTACAGGAATAAAACCCTAAATAAAATTTAAAAAAACACACCTGCGTCTTACGGTACTTTTTCACCACAAAACACAACGTAGGGTAACCGGGACTTATACGTATAAACATTGACATAAAAGTAATGTAATTGTATACATTGGATTCTTTAGTAACTTTTTTTTAAATTTTAGTTGATAAATTTAGCCTAAGATCATTTATACGGTTTGACCTACAGCTGTAGTTTTCATTCACCAGATTTATAAAGATCATTACCTTAAACAGATTCTTACCTGTGACGTCCGCCAGTTAAATGGTAGGTCTCTTTTTTTTTATTATTTAGTCCAAACGATTTTTTAATCCCACACGCAGGTCAACGTCATCCACTGAAGACACACTTCCTCATAAAGGAGAAGAACAAAGTCCACGAGACTGAGCTGAGCACAGTCTGATCTGAGGGTGTGGAGAAGTGAGTCCAGCATCAGCCTGAGCAAAGGTTGACAGACAAGGGAAAAGAAAACCGCCAGGAAATGTTTAAGGCCGGGGAGGAGGGGGATTTATTCATCATCAGAATGTGTCACCTCCCTAAGATATGATCTCTGTGAGGCAAGAACACTCACCACTCCTCCACCATGTGGCTCTGACTGGACTCAACAACTTAATCCATAATGATTTATAAGTGAATTGTCCAGCACACCAGAATGTTTTTTTTTTTAATATTTTACCCGCTACATCTTTGCTCCCGTCTCTTGCATTTCCATCATCACGCCGTTAGAGGTCAGCCTTTCACACTAGACCTCGTTCAGAAGCCACTAATCTGAAACAATCACTGTCGTCACGAAACGTCATCAGACAAAGATAAGGCTCAGTGAACGCAATCGAGGTTTAATAAAACACTGAAAATCTGATGACGTCACGTGGAAACATAACTGAACACAAACAGTAAACGCAGAACTCCATATTTTGTCACTTTTATTGATAAAATAAACATAGAATCACAGGATAAATGCACTTACATTCATCTAGTCATAATTCAGCAACCCAAAGTGCAGTGGTATCAGTATTAAAACAGTTTCCCTGTAGCCGAATGTGATTCCGTTGGCCACCAGGGGGACAGAGGATAAAATGAGTCTAAAAATGAAACATGTAAAAAAGCCATATTTTACAGAATAGAGGGGAGAATAAAACGGATTAGGACCTTTGACTATGATTGAAGACTGGATTTTTTTTTATTCTGGGCTGGTGTTTCTACACTAATATACAAATCCCTCGATTATGGTGTCAAAAAAAAAAAAACATTCACTCAGTAGCCTTAAACACAGATCCTTGGAAGTCCTGGATAATTGTTGACCTGCTTCTGTACAAAGAGACATTTCTGTAACTCATTAACTGTGTTAAATATTCCCTCACGGCAAAGAGGGACTTTGTCCTGTGAAGGACGCTGCACAGATACTACGACATAAAACAAACCCCTGTATATACACAAGAAGAAGAAAATCAAATGTATCCTACGCTACATGTTACACACGTCTAAATAGGATTACAACATAAGTACTTCTTTGCTACAAAGTCTAAGTAGAGCACAGGTATTTCCCCGTGGATTTCTTCACTGCGTCTGCAGGGCCTGGGTGATGGGCAGAGCAGAGCCGGGGGGTAAGGCCCAACCCTCCTGCCCCTGGTGGTTGTGCAGCAGACTGTACAGCTGCTTGAGGTGGGACACGATGTTGTCTTTAATGTCAGGGATGGAAATCTGCAGACGCACGCTGCTGCTGTCGAAGGACCGCGTGTTGTCTCCCGAAAACATTTCACTTATCATGCGAGCCACCACTGGAATCACCTGCAGGGGGAGACAAAGGACACGAGGGGGGGAATTAAAAATGTGCACTAGTTGTTGATCAAAAACAAGTTTATTTACAGTCAAGACTGATGTGGACACAAGCAAAGAAGGGATGACACTAAAGTAAAATATCACTTTTAATTAGTGAAGCTGTCTTTAGGAAAGGTGGTTCGGCTAGAAATATTTATTTTTGTTTTTAATACATGTAAGCTCTCAGTGAGGACGTGTCGCACTTCCAGCTTCTGGTGTTTGACTGTGTAAACTTCTAGCTTCTGGTGTTTGACTGTGTGGACAGTGTTCTTTGGGTTGTTTACAACTCCTTTCCAATCTTTAGCTGAAGAAAATGTTTTTGAAGGTATCGGTAATTTTGTCTTCAGCCACTATTTGGTTTTAAAAAGTTCACTGGATGAACAAGGACCAAAGTGACAAAAATGAAGCTCTCTTTCTGGTCCACTTCAAATGACCTCGGTCCGTTTGAGTTGTTGCCGTAGCTCCTTCGCTTCACTCTTCGCACAGAGAGTAAAAGTCAATGTGGTCCTGATGTGATTTATTTTTATATATTATAATATTAAAAGTCAAAAACAGTGAGAACAGAAGTTGTCCACGTTTCCCACCTGCACCATGATGAGTTTCCTCTCCCGGGGCCTCCCATCAGGCCACTCCTCTCCAAAACACAGGTCAATCTCGTACTGCGGTGGTTCTGCTGTCTGACCGCGCTGCTGGCAGATCACACCTACACGAGAGGAAAGGGGTAATACACACATCAGACAGTGACATGGATGCAAATACATTTGAATACAAAAATTGAATGATGGAAAATCCAGTCTCTAAACTGTTGGTTATTTCAATATAACCCAGCTGTAAATGAGCTAATTAATTTAAAAAAGTGCAGTGATTAATGAACTTACTGCTGAGGAACGTCTCCAGGCAAAACAGTTTGATCCTCTTCTGTCGTTCTATAAGATTTGGGGCAGTTGGATTCGGAGCGCAGGGACCGGACCAGTACACCTTACACTGGCAGAGGCGAATGGCGTAGATGTCATGGCCGGTGACCTCCAGGATCAGACCCCTGTCCATCACATCCAGCAGCCGGTTAGTGAAAAATTTCTGCTTGTCGTTGGTGATGTGCTCCGTGGTGGGGAAACGCAGCTGCTCCAGGTTGATCGGTCCAAACAGTTCTTCCTGGTTGACCATCGGACCCAGGTCTCCGTAGAAGAGCCTGCAGCCCTGTGGGTTACTGACGGTGATGGTGGGGCACATCTCCTTCCCTCGGTACAGAAACTGCACCTCCAGGTCTGTCACTGTGTTACAGACAAGCAGGCAGATGTTAAAACTTTTTTATTATTATTTTTTAGCTAAAATGCAGTTATGAAGTGAAGGAAATTAAACCTAAACAAAACTGGTGTTAGTTTTGAGGTTAGTCACCATTTGCAACTTTCAGAGAACTATATGACAGTTGTATTCAAAGTGAGGGCAGTGGCCCCTGAGGGTGTCACCAGGTGGCACTGGAGAGGTCTCATAAAATTAGCAGGAAAAAATTTGAAGTAATAATCGATACAGATTCCCAGAGTCCCTGCCTTTTTAATTGGACATGACATCCACGTCTGCCACAGGGTGTTGGTTCGTTACCAAGCGCTGGTTTTGCTCAACAGTTCTTAGTTCAACATCTGGTGTGTAAGTGACACTTACTGGGGAGAGAACTGATCCACGTCTCTGGAGAAGCGAAGAGCGCATCAGTCAAAGGAGACGGCTGCAGGATGGGGTTGACCAAGGCCACGGGCTGCATCTCCACATCCACCGGCTCCTCTTTGGGCCAGATCTTTACTGGCTCCTCTTTGGGCCAGGACTCGTTTGAGGGGGGGCAACTCGAAGGCTGCGTGGAATGTTCTGAACCCATGGGAGACCACATGATGAGAGGAGACGGACTTGGACCTGGATTAAAGAAAAAAACAGTTTAGTAATGAACTCTGTTTGCTTTGCTCGCTTATGGTGGAAACGAAAGAAATATTTATAATGATGACACTGACCGTTGGATGGATACGGAGGAAGGGATTCCGGTGTGTCTGGAATGTCCTCCTCGACTCTGTCCTCATCTTGAGGAGTCCAGGAACCGGCATCTGAGGCGGCTGTTGGAACGAGACAGTGAAGTTAAGTGGAGTCACGGGGTCGACCTTCGGTCAGGTCCTCCTGGCTCTCACTCACCTTGGTTGCTGTGCGGTTGTGGGATGTCGCAGACGTCGTACACCTTCAGAGGATTCATGGGGACCTCCTTCGTGCCGTCGTAGATGAGGTTAAACTCTCGGCTCTTGTTCAGCGCACATCGCAGCTGAGCTTTCCACTTTGCGGGATCGGGTTCGTCCACTCCCTCGTGGAATTTGCCCGTTTCTACGGCCCAGGCCTGCAGGGGGCGATGACAATAAACACTCCTGCTTATACAACAGAATTCACTGGGAGAGATGTTATCTCAGTCCATCTCTTACCTTAAATATGGTGTCTTCATCCTCGTGCTGAGGTGTGTGCCGCGTCGCGTGCTTCCATGGGATTTTGAAGCGCATGGCTTCGCGGTCGATCCACACCAGCCCCGGGTACCGCCCACTGTCCACCTGTGCCACCAGCCAGGGCTTCAAGCGGACACGTCGAGGGGTGACGGACATCCTGCCTGAGTGAGAGAGCCACAGACAGGTGAAGAAAGGGTGGGTGGGTGAGGGTGGGGGGGGCTGGAGGGGAGATTCTGAGCAGAAAGATTAAAAATGTGAACAATGGACTCAAACCAGAGAAGGAAACAAATAAGATATTAGTGACCAGTCTGACAATGGACACGGTTTCAGGATTTAAAGCTTCTGTGGTTCGTGTCCTGTTACACCTGCAGATTCTCACGAATCGAGGAAGTCTTCCCCGACCCCTCCCCCCTCTGTGAGGGAACAAACAAAACTGTAGTGGCCTTGACTGTAGGAGGCTCCTGTTTAATGCTCTTCAACCTCTGTGGCTTCATACTTTTAACCCCATTTATAAATAACTGTTTTTTGCACTCAAAGCATTATTTTCTTTTTTTTACAAGCCTGACACAAAAAGAAAAACAAGAAGTTGGTGGTCAAATTGTTTTAGGAAAAAAAGAAAACAAAGATAGTATGTGATTATGAGTGTCATCATTGAAAGGTCAAAGGTTGCTCTGAATATTGCAGGGCATGACAGTGCCAGGCTTCATTCTGCACAAATGACACAAGAGTGACTTTTTAGACATGAGCCTGATTGGCTGGTTAGATCTGGGGTTTAATCATAATCATAATAATAATAACAACAACAACAACAACAAGTGTCTATTTAAGTGTGTTATGAAGAAATATAGTGCAGTGGAAACCGGTTGCTGAGCGTCTTCTATGCTGTACAATTCCACATGCAAAACTGAAAAACACGGGAAACAAACAGTTCCCGGTACATAAGAAGGAAACGTGTGGACATTACTGGTCACTCGGTCTGTTTATGGTCGTAAACGGTCTGTAAAATCTCTTCATCTGATCGAATTAAAGTTCATGGAGGCACTAGAGCAGCTCGGTTCTAGTACTGACTTAAGTTAAAGCCACTTTAAGAACCGTGAATACCTTTAGTTTGATCTGAGTCGGACGGACGGACTGCAGTTCCACTGAGGAACACACGTCGGTCTCTGTGCGCGTTTCTCTGCCAGTCCGTATAAAAGACTTATTAATAAAAGATTATATTGGGACGAGTCCAAAACAAGCCGAACAAACAAAAGTACCAAAACACGAAACTGGACGGGACGCATACCTGTGGAGATCCAGGAAGTGGGAGAGGTCTGGGCTTCACGGCCTGTGAACAGCGACAGCTGTGGATCCACCGAGCTTCTTCCTGCAACTACCGGGTCATCGATCACCGATCACCGACGATAAGTGCGCACAGGCAGCGCAGGGAAACTACAACAGCAGCAGCTCGGGGGTTTATCTTGGACAGCCGATGTTTTCCACTCGGCCGCGTCCTTCCCCTTTTCCTCACCGAAACTCAGGTATGGGGTGACGTCACTCCGGTGACACACCTTTTGTGAGCGGAGGAGGAGGAGGGAGAAATGGGGACAGGAAAAACGTGGGCAGACCAACACACACACACACGGACACACTGTGGCGGCCTTTGCCTATTTTGCGCCTGGGGCAGATTAGACTCCCGCCCTACGTAAACAAAAACATTTATGTTAAGGTTTTTTTTAAATAAATGAAGAAACCGTGTTGAAATACATACATAAATATTATTTGAATATACAATATTTATAAAAGAAATGATAAAACTTTTATCGCACGCAATACGATCTACAATACACACGATGACTGAAGGCTAACCGTACCGGTATATCGTCCACAAAAACCTCTACTGCGTATTTAATAACTTAGTCACAATCAAGAAGATCAAGACAGACGTTTCCTGATGAGTAACTTACCAAAAAAGAGCTCATGTTTCTTTGGAGAAAAAGAACTTCCTGTTAGGACAACTGATTTATCATGTATATATTTACTGGTGATATACATAGGATGCAGTAAAACTACAAAAAAAACTTCTAGGTATATGTTGTACATTTTGTACATCACAGATGTTATGGTTCTTCTGAAGTTCACTTTACTATAAAATATAGATTGCAGTAAATCATATGTATTTTTTTACCTGTAAAAACTCTATAGTTCTGCTATGGTTCTGATGTAAAGGAACAGTCCGTGGGATGGAGCAGACGTGTTGTTACAGGTCAGTAGTTGAACAGGACTTTCATCACTGATCCAGCCCAGGCATGTTGATAAAAAATATATATATTCTATTTAACACAGTCATCGGTCATTTTAGTTGTTTATTTTCATCTTGAAATATATACTTTGTTCTTCTTTCTTATAATTGTCATCACTCCCTGCTGTCGTGTTTCATGTTTGTGTTACTTGACTTTTTATGTTTTTTTCTCCTCCTTTGTTTGAATGAAAACCAAAGGGCCGAGTCACCTTTCCAAAATTAAAAAATAATATTATATTGCTTGATGCCACACTGACAATAATGCTAATTTCAAAAAAGAAAACACTTTCCAAAATTAAAAAATAATATTATAATGTTTGATGTCACACTGACAGCAAAGACAGTGTTTCAAAAGAGAAATTTTTTGTAAATTGACAGATTGACAAAATTGCCTTTTTTTATTTTTAACTCAAATTGTGGATTTACAGTTAGTACGGTGGATGTTTGACTGTGAGGACACGTGAAGACGGTTTGTTATGATCCACAAACAGTGGCCACTCCCAGAAACTGCTGCATCAAGCAGCTCTTTCTGGTTTCAATACTATTTGCAAATCGAACCAGTTGCCGTGTGTGTGTTTGTTTGTGTGTTTGATGCAGTCTTTCATATGTGAATGAATGAGGTCTGTTGTGTTATTTTCTGTTCTTTTCTTTATTTATGGTTCAAGTCACCAGGCTGGAGATCAAAGGAGAAATCAAGATAAAATACAAGTAGAAAAAGTAGAAATAATATTTCCCTCAAATGTTCAACTTGTTTTCTTTTCTTGTCACTGTTCTCCTTTGTGGATTTAATTATAAATGTATAATNCATATATATATATAAATACACCGGGGTGACAGTGTTTATGAGAAGATATTCTTTCCTTTGTCTGTGTTTCATTTGGATTTAATGGGTTAATAATAAACACACCGTACATACAATGACTGTGACAGTGCATTTTTAAAAAATATCCCTTTATTCACATTTCTTTATTTAACTGTTCAAGCCTATACATATAGCGTCACTAACTTTAAACTAACGTTTTTTTTGGCTTGTATACAAATTGTCATTATTTGAATGTCTTGTCCTGAAGGAAAAAAAAATAACTTCCAGGTTTATTCTAAGTGCGTAAATATCAAACTGTATTTATTCACAAACAACAGGCAGCGACCTCTAAGTTCATGAAAAGTATTGCACTTATTTAGTCCATCAGAAGATGAAACAAAAATCAGTTCCTTCATGAAGTCATTGTTGAGCTTCCGCCAAAATATACCTCCCAGAAATGGGGTGTTCTGAGAGGAGATTTTAAAGGAATGAGGTAGGGGGCGCTGTGTCAGCTGACAGAAATAAAAATAAAACACGAATGATCCATGAAGGCGCAGAGGAAAAGTTCAGTTTGCGTCATATACAATGACGACATTAGTGGATTATTTTTAAATCCACGTCTTCATCCCTGTGGCCGCAGCACAGCTTCACAGAAATGTGCTCTTCAGAGTCCGTCGAGTTTAAGAAAAAAAAACCCTTAGACTCTCATTTCTCCTTTGATTTTACTGATGATGTGTGAGAGGTCCAGACTCTCTGTTAGCGTCTTCAGGAGCATCTCGTCGTTCTGAACTCCCTCCATGAACTCCTCATAGGACAGTTCTCCTGGAAAAGGAACAAAGAGACTGTGAGAACACGTGTGACGACACCGTTCACAAACACATATTATACACACCTTAGGTCAATTTGTGGGAAAGAGGGACTATAAACATTTACGCCGCTAGGTGGCAGAGTTTCTTTTTTTGCGTGTAACCACATGCGGAAGTGGTGGTTACAGAAGTTGGATGTAAGAAACCCGGTTGTTTTTCACCGCAACACGGACCCGCGAGGTTAATCCTGACTGTGGACTGATCTAGGATGCTGTAAAGTCGAAGATTGGCTTTAAAAAATATATAAGACTTTTTGCGTTCGCGAACTGATACACCGATCAAAGTCTGGAGTTATTTTTTGCATTCATTTGTAATAATTGTATTTTTTTATTTTGTACTTATCGACTATCGACTAACTATTGCCCTAAGAGTTGGCGGATTAGCAGACTTGAGAAACATTCTAAGATTGTAGAGAAGAGCCCTCTATCGGTGAATGTTTTGTTTCTCGTTTTTCTAAAGATTACAACTCGCGATTAATCTAAGCGTCTTTAAAGTTTATTTTATTTTTTACTTTAAAAAAAACTGTCTCTTTCTGTCATGTGCTGTTCTACTTCGTTATGCTCTATATATATTTAACAGTTTTTAATGAAGTACTTCTGTCCTGTGCTGTTCTACTTCGTTAGGCTTCATATATTTAACAGTTTTTAATGAAGTTAATGTTTACAACAACCACCGCTCGGTATCTTGTCGCACATCTCACCGTCTCCATTGACGTCAATCTTGTCAAACACCATGTTGGCGAAGTCCTCTGCTGACATCTCATGAGGAATCCCGTTGATTGCACGGATGGACTGAACACGACACAAACACAGTGGATCTTGTCAGACAGTTACTTTTTTAAAAAATTCATTGTTGTTCATTATTCTACCAGCAGAGGTCACCAAAAAGCTATTTCCTAGCTGGGCTGCAGCCTCACATAAACCTGAGGGGGGATTCACTCTGAGGTCTTTCACTGTCAGACTATATATAACGGTACCGGGAGTGCGTTCCAGGACAGGATCCCGGGATTTTCCAACCCTTGTCAGTAAGCTGCTCTACAGTACGTCACCCTCTGACATGACATGCACACGGGGGGAGGGACGGGGGGTCGTGGGTACCTTGATTATCTGCAGCAGCTCGTCACGGTCAATGCAGCCGCTGCCATCAATGTCATAGAGTTTGAAGTACCAGCGGAGCTTCTGCTGCACTCCCCCCTTCAGCACCAGACTCAGAGCAGCCACATACTCCATGAAGTCAATGAACCCGTCCTACAGGGGGAGGCAGAGGGGGTTATGTTATTATTAAAAGAAGAATTACTTCTCGGTTGTCCATTCTGTTAATTAGGGGTTGCCGCAGCTGGAGTAGTCCGAGCTGATGCAACCTAACCTGGGGTTTTTGAGTCCGAGCTGATGCAGCCTAACCTGGGTTTTATGGAGAGAACTGTAAACCCCCGAGTTATTCAAATGTCAATTTGTATGAAACCTATACATTTGACACACCGAAATCGTCTTCTTAAATAAAAGAATACAAAAACATCAACATTTATCTCCTCTTATTAAAAGTCAAACTGGTCTGGTCTCGTTTGTTTTGCTAACCGTCAGTATATCTGTATCGTCCTGCCTGTTTGGGTTCTATAAACGCGTGTTTGTTTATATAGTGGGATGTATATAGTAGGCCGTTTATTTCGAAAGATACTGAAATGTCCAATTTTTGTTATGTCTTTGAATGTTTCACGCCGGTTCTGCTGTTTATTTAATTAACCAGGTGCTAACAACGAAGGTACCGTTGGAGAGCTAGTGTTTTTTAGCATCGCTATCATTGGTTGGAATGAGACCGTGTGGGCGATGTTACTGAGTGAGTATAAAGTTTATACTCTTTATAGTTTATAGTTATAGTTTATACTATAAACTGTATGATAATTATATGAACGTTATTTTTAAAATTGTGACTGTCCGTTTATTTTTATTGTCTAAATAAATGGTCATGAATATGGTGCTACAAATGCTAATTTGTGTCGGTTGAGTGGGTTTTTTTTTTTAAATTAGAGCCACGTTGTGTGTTAAATGTATGAGAGTTAGTAAAGTAACTAAACCTCTCTGTCACTAAGTTAGAGTCACGTTTTAGTTATATTCAGACTTAAATATTTTAGTAGACTGCCTTCAATTCGCCTCTCCTGCTCAAGGTGTCGTTGGTGTTTTGGTGTGTGCCATGACAATTTAATCACGTTAAAAGTAAGGGAGGGCTTCAGATTAAACAACAACAGAATATAAAAATTGTGAACTCAAAAAAGTTCATTTTTTTAACAGGTACACTGTAGAATACTGTTAATGTCTGTGAAATTCAGATTAAACAACAACAGAATATAAAAGTAATGAACTGAAAAGAGTTACTTTTTTTTACAGGAACACTGTAAAATACTGTTAATGTCTGTGAAAGTTTTTCCAACTTTCTGTTTGAACACCTGAATGTCACTTAGTCTACGTAGGGACCGGACGTCTTGGTTTAATAGAGTCACAACCAACGGTTTTAGGAGCATACCGCCACCTACTGTAGTAGTGAGATAACGCAGCCTACTCTGTACGTCTTAATACGCGGTTCATTTTATTTATTTCAACCGATGCGAATTGTCTTTTTGATTTTTAATCGATTCACGATGATGCATCGTTTCATCCACAATAATTATTCAAAATGGCGCAACAACAGGTACAGATTTAAAAACTCCAGATTGGTCCAGGATTGTAGGTCAGTTGGGTAAGTGGTGTTGGTGGGATCAACATCTTAACTAATATCCTGACGTCCACTCACACAGAAATAACTCGGGTTATTTTTCACTCTGATAAACACACCAGCTCTCACTCTTTTTTTCTTTTTTTTTGGCCACTCATTTTTGTATAACTATTCTAGAGCTTTTACTAAAGAAAATATACTTTTAAATTAATTAATTTACTCAAATCAGACCATAAGTAAAAAAACGATCCATCAGCTTCTAACAAATACATACATATTTTTGTATAATTTCAGATAAAACAGCAGATTGAATTTCTCCCTAAACAATTGTCATGATTGATTGTTATTACAGTTGATTGTAATTGAATTAATAACACTATTTATACTATTTAAACTATTTAAACACTATTGTCCCAGTACTTAGACGTGAAGGTTTCTTACGTCATTCATGTCAAAGGTTCGAAACATCGTCAGGATGTAGGCGTTTGACGAGGCCGAGAGATTCTTGAGCCCAAAAAACTTCTTGAACTCGTAGAAGGTGAGGAGTCCGGACGGACACTCGGTCATGAACTTCCTGTACCACTGATGGCTCTCACAGCTCTGAAGCTCCTCCACCATGGAATCATTACAGTTTCCCATGTCGGCTTTTTTTTTTTTAAAGAATACATGTAAAAAACACCAGAGACAACATGTCCACCACCTGCTGCGTCCACCGGAGACTAGGCATGAGTGTTTCTGAGTCACTGTACGATTGTGTGTGTGTGTGTGGTTGTGTCAGCCAATCAGCTGTCTGTGCATCTCTGTGTGAAGGGCTTAGGTTTTACAATCCACTTTGCCCACCAGAGAATGCTTAAGTAATTGAAGAGAGCGAAGGTCGGAGAGGAAGACAAAACAGATCGTGATTTATCTCAGTTGAATTGATTGAGTTTCAGTATTGAAGTAGTTTTGTACACGGAGGTAAATGTCATGTGTCAAACTCAGGCCCGGGGGACCAAATCTGGTCCGTAGTGTTAATATATTTGGCCCGCGAGATCATATCAAATGTGTACTAGAGTTGGTCCTCCAGTATACAGACAGAATTTGTATTTGTCTGTATTTGGGTTTTTATGTTGTTGTTGGTCTGTGAAAAAATGATTTACATGAAAAAAAGGAACTGGAAAGGCTACAGATAAAGAGACAGAATAAGAACAAAAACACCACTGATGTGAGTTTTATTTCAGATTTAACTTCTCATGTGTTTATAAAATTAACCCTGAGTTGGACGCCCCTGCCTTATAAGGTCGGGTCTTTAGGCTGTTGACATGGAACCACATCATTCCAGTTGAAAACAGGCTTCACTATCACAGTCACGTTCATAAATCTTCTTTCCCCGACCTTCTGTCAGCAGCTTAGTGCTCTCGTCACTGGGTTAGACCGTCTTAAAGCGGCTCCATCTGCTGTCAGAAGAAAACATTTTCTGCTTTGACCAGTAAGAATGACCAGCAACCAGTCGCCACCGTGTCCTGTTCTCGGGCCTTGTGGGTTTATATTTATATATATATTTACATGAATGATGTCACACTGTGATGGTGTTGATACTGTTTATCCTTTTATCTTACTGTTTAATTTTTTAAATCATAATTTTAAAATATAAATATATAAAAAAAATACATGTGCAAAAATCATAATAGTCGTTATTTAAAAAATGATAAAAAATTAATAAAATTATTTATTAACCTTTTAATTTTTTATTATATTCATTTATGTTTTATATTTATTAAATATAATTTTAATATATATATGTATATACACATCCATATGTATATGTATATATATATGTGAATGGTTGTTGTCGCTGTACATTACGTGGCCCTTCAATAGATTGGCAAATTCTTTAGGGTGTACCCCGTATCTCCCCCCCCCCCCCGACCCACGCCCACCCACTGACGTTTATACATTTTTATTCTGATGTCACCTGATACAGTAATAAGTTGTAGAAAAATTTGTATCATAAAGTGTATTTACAATATATTAACGCAAATGGGTTTCCTGATTCCACTTTGAAGGAGTGATCTGCAGGTTAGAATAATACTGTAGTTACATTCCTTACATTTCAGCCAGCATCAGTCAACGTGATGAATTTGCAGCGGGGACAGAGGAACAGGAAGGACCAGTCGGGTTTGTCTCCAGGACAACACCGGTTGAAGTGCAGCACAAATAATACTTCTTAGAAAAGTGATCGCAAGAAAGAAGAAATTGGAGACGAGACGGTTTATTATCAGTTTATGATGACAAAATAAAACCCAAGGGTAAAAATTATGATCAGATATGACATTAAAAATGAATGTATGAACATTTACATTTGTGAGATTACGATTTGCACCGAGAAACATCCAAAAAAGAGAAAATCCAGACAGAGGGTTACCTCCCAACCACAAGTGCCTTTAATATTTACATATCAATTTAACAGACTTTAATATTCATGCCAGTAAATGATTTAACTATTTGTTGACACTATGGAGACTGCGCTCCCCGTGTTTGGCCACCAGTACAGTAAGTACGTACAGTTGCAATTTCTCCTATGGGTGGCATGCTAAAAATATTATAAAAAATATGATATATTATGATTTATTATATGCTGTGATTTTTACTCTGAGCTCCATTTTTTTAGAGATTTTTTAGTACTGTGAGCTCCATTTTTTTAGAGATTAAAACCTTTAATTAATTACAGGTGTAATTAATGAATCCATGTACACACAAAAAATTAAATGAAAGAAGTTTGAAGTACTTTGTCAACTTTTTGTTGTAGAATCTACATAAATCAGAACCTGTACCATATGTTGCCACTTTTTTAAATCCCACCAGACGCCCATGACTTTTTTTCTTTTTGTAGATTCGCTTCTGCAGCGCTGCGTCCGTGCACAGCCACCGCCACAGCCACAGCCACAGCCACAGTCAGAGCCACAGCCCCAGCC